GCCTTCATTTTGAAATTTATTTTATCAGATATTAGTATTGCTACCCCAGCTTTCTTTCCTTTCTGTTTGCTTGGAAGATTTTTTTCTATCCCTTCGCTTTCAACCTATGTGAGTCTTTTGTTGTGAGGTCAGTCTCTTGTAAACAAGATATATGAATCATGCTTTCTTATCCAATCAGCTACTCTGTGTACTCTGTGTCCTTTTTTTTTTTTTGTTTAACTTTTTTTTTTATCCTCACCCAAGGACATTTTTTCATTTTTTGTTCAGATAGAGTGGGAAGGAGAGAGAGGAAGAGAGAGAGAGAGAGAAACATCGATGTGAAAGGTACATATCAAGTGGCTGCCATCCACACGACCCATCCAGGGCCAGGGACAAACTGCAACTGAGATACATGCCCTTAGAGGCAACTGAACCCGGTTCTCTCTGGACCGCAGGCCGACGCTCTAACCTCTGAGCCAAACCAGCCAGTGCCACTCTGTGTCTTTTGATGGGAGCATTCAATTCATTTACAATTATGGTGAATATTGATACGTACTTATTTATTGCCAGTTTTGTTTAGTGTGTTTATATTTTACTTCCTATTTCTTGTACTAATTAAGCAGTCCTGTTAACATTTCTTTCCCTGCTGGTGTGGTGCTAATGTATTCCCTTAGCTTTTTTTTTGTTTGTTTGGAAACTCTTTATTTGACCTTTTATTTTGAATGATAGCTTTGCTGGATAGAGTAGTCTTGCATTTAGATCCTTGTTTTTAATGACCTTGATTACTTCATGCCATTTCCTTCTGCCCTGTAGTATTTCTGTTTAGAAGTCAGCTGATGGCCTTATGGGGGTTCCTTTGTAGGTAACATTTGCGTATCTCTTGCTGCCTTTAGGATTCTCTCCTTATTTTTTATTTTTGGCATTTTAGTTACTATGTGTCTTGGTGTGGGCCTATTTGGGTTCTTCATACTTGGGGTTCTCTGTGCTTCTTAAATTTGAATACCTTCTTTCTTCACCAAATTAGGTAAGTTTTCTGTCACTATTTCTTTAAATATATTCTCTAACCCTTGCTCATTTTCTTCTTTGGGGACTCCTATGATGCAAATATTATTACATTTCCAGTTGTCCCACAATTCTCCTAAGCTGTCTTCCTGTTTTTTTAATTGTTTTTTCCTTTTGGTTTTCTGATTGGTTGATTTTTTTCTACCCTGTCTAATTCACTGATCCAGTCCTCAGCTTCCTCTAGTCTGCTGTTTAGTCTTTCCAATGTGTTCCTTTTTAAATTTTTTTAATTCATTTTTTTATCCTCACCTGAGGACCTCTTTCCACTTTTTGTTCAGATAGAGTGGGAGGGAGAGAGAGAGAAACATCGTCATAAGAGGGAAACATTGATTGATTGCCTTCTGCATAACCCAACCAGGGCTAGGGACAAATGGCAACCTAAGTACGTGCCCTTAGCGGGAATCGAACCTGGGTTTCTCTGTACCACAGGCCGACACTCTTACTGCTGAGCCAAACTGGCCTGGGTCTAATGTATTCTTTATTTCTGCTATGTCATTCTTCATTTCCACTTGGTTGATTTTTAATGCTTCTATATCTTTACTCATGTTGTTGATGTCCTTAACTTATGCCATTGAGCTTCCTCAAGATCATGGCTCTGAACTCTACCTCTGATAACTTGCTTAACTGCATTTCATTTATCTCAACTTTGGTAGAGGTCTCTTGTTCTTTCATTTAGGATTTGTTTCTTTGTTTCACTGTTTTGGCTATTTTGGATTTTGGAGCCTGCATATTTTCCCTATCGGTATTGGTGTTCTGCTATTTGTGGCACCCTCTACTGGGTTTGGATGAGCGTGGGAGGACCCACATTAAACACCACTGTCAAGTCTTACTTTCCTGGGTAGATTTACAAGCCCAGGAATGGCTCAGTTATCCTCTAGCTTTTTGCCTGGAGGATATTAGTCAGTTACTTGGGACTTGGGTTCTCAGATGAATGAAAAAATTTCTTAGTCTTTTAGCATAAGAGGATTTACTGAGGGTGGGGCAGATGCTGGTTGCTAATGAGCCTCAATTTTCATTTCTTTGGCCCACCTGGGTGGGGTTGAATCTCCAAAGAAGGGGCCACTGCCTCTCTCTAGAGCCCTAGTGAAGAGTAAGATGACCACCATCCTTTGTGGCCACAACTCAGCAAAAGCTCTGAGCACCCTCCAAATCCTGAGTATTCCCACCCAGTTTCAGTCCTGCCTGCCCTCCCTCTGCCAGAGCCCAAGTTGAGTATCTGTGGCTAGTTTAGCACTCTGTCCCAGCCCTCAGTGCTGTGGAGCCGGCTTGGGATTTTAACCCCAAGGTTGCTGCTCACAGCTACGACTGCTGCTGTCCGTGAGCTCCCAGCCCCCCTCTTGCACCTTGGCAATCCTACCAGGATCAATTCAGTGTCCCCGGTTATATGGTCCTCACAAGCTGCTTTTCTGTTGCTTTTTCCCCAATGATTTGCCTTTATTTTAGTTGTAATTTCAGTTTGGTCCTGGGAGATGGTCTGTGTAGCTTCCATTCACTGTGCCGCCATTTTGGAATCTCCTGGTGTGGATCACTTTGTAAAGTATATGATTGTCTAACAACTAACTATGCTATACACCTGAAACCAATACACATTTTTTAAAAAGCATCTTTCCAATTCAGCTTCCACAACTGTACACCTCACCACTCTCTATTCACCATCTTCTTTCCCAAGAGATGTATTATTCAATCTATTTTGAGATTCCATAAAGGAACATAAGCCCTAAAATCAGACTGTCCAATTTCAAATCCTACCTCTTCCGGCAACTATCTGTCCAAGTGACCTTCATTAAGTTATCCAACCTCATTAAACTATTGTTTCCTCATTTGTAAAATGGGGATGTTGCTAATGATGATTAAATTGCTTGTAAAGTGTTTAGCACAGGCCTGCTCAAACCTGGCACTCAATATAAGTAAATCCTGTTATAGTTGTAGATAAACATTAAAAGCTTTGGAGCTAAAGAATAATACTTTCTGCCCTGGCCAGTTTGTCTCAGTAGTTAGAGCGTTGGCCCGTGGACCAGAGTGATCCAGGTTTGGTTCCCACTAAGGACATGTACCTCGGTTGCAGTTTATCCCCAGCCCCAGTTGAGGTCATGTGGGTAGCAGCCAGTCGATGTATTTCTCTCACATAGATTGTTTTTCTCTCTCTCTCTTCCTTTCTCTCTCCCTCCCACTCTATCTGAAGATAAATGCAAAAATGTCCTTGGGTGAGGATTAAAAAAAAAAAAGAATACTTTCTTATTTCACCACCATCATGTGTGTATGTTTTAGTTTCTCTGAGAAACACTGAGTTTAGCTGGGAGTGTGCTTCAGAGATAACAAATGCTCCCATTGATCACTGTACTATTTTGTCTTTTTTGTAATATTTAAGTGTACTCTTTGTTTATATTTATGAGATCCTCTATTAAACTTTAGGGCATTGTTTGCTACAATGAGGACACCCATCTGTTTGTCATGACTAATGTATCCATAGAGTAGAGAGAAAAAGAAAGTCACAAAATCAAGGCCTTAAGCTGAAGCAAAAGAAAAAAACTATGCAGAGAATAAAGAACACTGGGCTAGAAATTCTAGATCCCTTTATCCATCACTATACTAGTACAATAGCTATCAAGTGGGTGACATCCTCTTTAGTCATCAGGTTTTTAACTTGTAAATTGAGTAATTGAATAAGCTAGTTTCTAAGATTGTTTCCACTTTAAAATTTCATGGTTTTATTATTCTGCTGCCAACATCTATGTGACAGTTACTGTATAAGATTTCAAGAGAACTGGAACTTTATTTGTACTTTGTTAACTAATGAATAAGAATTGAATAGGTAAAGAGTATGGGGAAGGGCATTTTAGACATTGGGACCCAACTAGAGAGGCCAAAAAAAAAAGTGAGCAACCAGACTCACTACAAACTTGGAGACAAGTTTGTAGTATCTGGTTAGAGTAAAAATATTAATGTTAGAAAGCTAAATTAGGTCAAGTTCTTTGGAGGACCCTGAATGTCAAGCAATGGACAAGCATTTTATAAGCATTTGGCAGCCATTAGAGTACATTGAACAGGGAAGCATATTGTAAAAGCAAAAGGCATCATCAAAGAAAAATACAGATGTTCCTCAACTTACAATGGAATTATATCCCAATAAACCAATAGTAAGTTGAAAAAAATCATGAATCAAAACTGCATTTAACACACCTAACCTACCAAACATCATAGTTTAACCTAGCCTACCTTAAATATGTTCAGAACACTTACATTAGCCTACAGTTGGGCAAAATTATCTTGCTGTCACTGCCCAGCATCAGAAGAGAATATCGTACCACACATCACTAGCCCAGGAAAAGATCACGATTCAAAACTTATAAGTGCAGTTTCTGCTGAATTCACACAACAAATGTACTTATAGTGTAATTGAAAATCACTGGCTGCAAGGTGAAAAAGCCAATATTTTATAAATGTTGTATTCTCATTAAAATATACAATTCCAATATTCAGGAGAGAAGGAATTCATAACTATTTGGCTGTGTCTATATAACACTGCTTTAAAGAACAAAGAGAATACTCAAATAACCATATTGTTATATGGATTATTTGAATAAATTCCAATTTATTTTTTAAATTCAGGCAAAACAATTTGCATATGTAGACTCATCCGAAGGGTCTTTTCATTATGTAAAGCTTCATAGTAGACATCAAAGGATGTTTTATCAATGAGAACCAGTGTAACCCTACCCACTGGATCTGCTCCCAAAATTGATGTTGCACATGTAGACCAATTAGAATGATCTTTGAGGACATTGCAAAGAGTTACATTCACCAGGACATAAGTCAGTCAAATGTGAAAAACTCAAATGCACTTGGAATTATTTGAAACTTATAAAAAAGATAAAAGAATGATTTGTTTGCTTGTTTTCCTAGACCATTGGCCTGTTGGCTTGCAAATAATATGTATGAACCTGTGTGTTTTCTTCCAGGGTCTTTCTTCCCTGACTTCAGGCCTTCTGAAACAGTTTTTAAAATAGCATTTTGGCTCGGATACCTAAACAGCTGCATCAACCCCATTATATACCCATGCTCCAGTCAAGAGTTTAAAAAAGCCTTTCAGAATGTCTTGAGAATCCAGTGTCTCCGCAGAAAGCAGTCTTCCAAACGGGCCCTAGGCTATACCCTGCACCCACCCAGCCATGCCCTGGAGAGGCAGCACAAAGACCTGGTGCGCATCCCCGTGGACTCAGGAGAGACCTTCTATAAGATCTCCAAGACTGATGGGGTTTGTGAATGGAAGTTTTTCTCTTCCCTGCCTCATGGATCTGCCAAGATTGCAGTGCCCAAAGACCAATCAGCCTGCACCACAACCCGGGTGAGAAGTAAAATATTTTTGCAGGTCTGCTGCTGCATGGGGCCCTCGACACCTAGCCATGGAAAGAACCATCAAGTTCCAGCCTTTAAGATTCATACCATGTCTCTCAGTGAAAATGGGGAGGACATAAAGAGGACAGGAAAGGTCAGAAGGAAGAGGGGATAATCTTAGGCATGTTCACTCTTCCTGGATAACAAGACAGGACCCTCCAAACTGGGACCATTTGGCAATGGGGTCGGGGAGGAGACTCTTGGGCAGTTAGTAGGGCTCACAGAAAAGGGAGGATGTCACACAACCATCCAATTCAAAATGAGAATAAACAGCACTTCCTTGAGGCTAATGCTCTCTCAGGCATCCTCTGAGGCTGCTCTCCACGTCTGGCCTCTTCATCGAAAAACACCATGGGAAACAGAATTTCATGCACAATCCAAAAACTATAAATATAGGATTATGATTTCATCATGAATATTTTCAGCACACACTCTAAGTTTGGAGCTCGTTCTTGATGTAGTGATGTGATTTTATTTTCAGGCTTGACTTACTGACAGCCATGTAGGATATTTACAGGGACAGGGCCTAGAGAGGAAGGGCCTTAAGATGGTGGCTGATATCCAGCACATTATTTTTAGAATGAGTTTTAAACTTCACCATTTCGGATATATTCATTGTCTCAGCTTGGGTGAAACTTGCAAGATTTACCTTTTGCAGCAATTTGACTGGACATTGCTCCTGATTCCCTAAGGATGAGGGTGAGGGGCACTAATGTCTCTTCCCTAAAGAAAGCACAACCTCTTGGCTTGGGTCTAGAGAATGTTGAAAGAAGCAGTCAGTGAAAGGATTTCTTTCTTAATAGAAGACAGTGGAGATGAAAGTCATTTTTTCAACTTAACTACTACGGACAAAATTCTATTAAGCAGTTTCAAGGTCAGATGGATGAAGTCTTCTCATGTAACATTTATTTATTTATTTATTTATTTATTTATTTATTTATTTATTTATTTTTGGGGTACGTGCCCCTAGTGGGAACCAAACCTAGGACTCTCTGGTCTGCAGGCCAACACTCCAACTGCGGAGCCAAACTGGCCAGGGCTCATGTAACATATTTAAAGATCAAGAGGTTGGGGTGGGATGAGTGCTATTTTCATGCTAAAATAGATACTGAAAAATTACTCCACAGACTTTTTGACTTGACCTTGAAAGATCTTTCCTGGCAAATTACTTACCTTTTTCAGAACTTCATTGTTAAAATCCTTAGCTGATAATATTTTGAAAGGCACATCTTGACTTACATTTTTTTGTCAGCTGCTTCACTATTGCATAATGAATGAGGATCAAGGTCTCCAGTGCATCTGTAGCATGCTGGAATGAGCCTTATGATCCAAGTAGATCCTTCCTGAAATTTGAGTGATATAAAGGCTTGGCTTGGGAGCATATGACTAAAAGCCCATTAAAAGCAAGAGTTTGCAAAGAGGTTTTGCCAGATGTCCATTTATTCTGGTAAAAGATCCAGTACCCCATTCATTTCTTCTATTTTCACTTTCTACAGAAATTTTTAGAACATGTTAATTTTTTGTTTTACGTATACAAAATCTTGGTAAACCTTAATAACTCGGTATATTTACTAAAGATGAAGATGGTAGCTATATATAAAAATGAAAATATTTTTTATATTTCACAGTAAGAATTTAAAATGAGATTTGTGGTTTGGGAATAATTATTGACTAGAATTATTGGTCTAAAACTACTGATCATTTAAGTGGCCTCTTTCCCCATATTTGGGTAAATCCTCTAAGTATTTTAAAGTAGATTACAGCTATTATTTAACCTTCATGGCAAAAGTAGTAGTCAGCATCATCTATTTCTTCTTCCCTTGCAGCAAAATAACTTCCTTAAATCTTTATGAAAGGCTAATACCTGTGTACACTGCCATAGAGGGTATGTTTGTATGTGGATTGGCATTTGGTTTTTGGTTATATATAAATTATTACCACTTTCTCAACCTTTTCTGGAGAGTGTCTTCTTGTTGACCAGACAGACATTCTGCCTTGTGCTCATAATTTGGATTCTGGCATTAAATGTTGGCTGGATTTTTAGACTCTTCTGTTCTGTCTGCATGTCCCATAACAGCTCTACCAGATGTGGGTGTCCTGTTATGGATGTGGGCACCAGGGAAGGATGTGAATATGCAAACCTCACTCCTCTTCTGCCTTAATAGGAAAAGTAAGTTTCATTATTGAGAAGAACTTCCAGAATCTGAATTTAAAAAACTACTTTTGCCAGGCTTCCCCTTATAGGAAGAGCATCCTCATGAAAGAATAGTAATAGTTTTTCTTCAGCAAAATATGCTTCCATGTTTGAGATGATCTTTAAACATATTTACAGGCAAATTTAAATATTAGATATTAAAAAGTTTAAGATCACCAGAAAGCTAACATTAATGCCAGTGCTAATCAAAATAAACAACTAGAGAATCTTTCTGTCATCAGACAAAAGCCATGACAATTGTATTCATGTAAAATGATCTATAAATGTCTGCTACACTATTCTTCAACTACACAGTCTCTAGGGAGGCAAACCTGAACATTTTTATTCTTTCCCATAATATGGTATTATATATAAACACACCAATTTTACAATAAATTAATGATGTCACCTAAGACTTAGCCAAAGTGGGTAACAATAGCCAAGATATTTTTTTACTGGTCCACAAAAATCTCTGTACCTTTGAGCATGCCAAAAACTATATAAAATTGTCACAATTAAATAAATAATTGTCTTATTTATATTTACATGTTTACTGCATCTATTTGGAATTTGAAGAATTTATTCAGAGCAAAACAGTGGTCAAAATGTGATCTCTAATGTGTTATGAAAAGCAGTTGCTTTGGGATTGTTTTAACATCACTAAAAGTTAACTTGACATGATGGGATAGGCAAAATCTGAGTTTCTTCTGCAATCCAAATTACATGCATTAAGAAAGATCTTGAATCTCTTTATTAAAAAATGTACTAAACTTTTGCAAGGATTCAGGAAATCATTTTATTTGTCACAGTTTTCTTTCTTATGCCTCTGTCATGTCTCATCCAAGACCACTCCTGCCTGTAATCACTCAGTATATGCTAACACTCTCCAAAATATTAAGGCTTCTAACTTTCTCACCACCTACTTGACTTGAGCCATCCATGACAGACAGTGATATCTGGGTAAATAAATGTTTTCTTAAGGCTTTATTGTTAGGTGCTACTGAGTGCCATACATTACCAGGGCATTTTGTATCTATTGTTTCTAAACCTCATAGCAATTCTACTATTCATATTTTAGATATGAAAATCTGATAGTTAAGAGTGATTAAAGACTGGCCCAAAGCCAAAAAGGAGATGTGACTCAATCCTGGTTCTCCCTGACACTAAAGTCTGCATGTTTTGTTTTGTTTCTCACAGTACCTTGTCTCATAAATAATGGGGGCAAAAGTCCCCAAGTCAGGATTGAGTATGCTAAAGGTACTAAACCATATCCAAACTTTTTAATGTTTTGTTTCCTTGGGATTTGCTTGCCAATTAACCTCAGTAAATATGCTTCCAAATCTTCATTCCAACCAAATCCAACAGCTAGTTAAAAATGAAAGGGTTTGACGTCTTTAATTCTATCTGTCAGACTGCAGCACTTTGTTAGGGATCACGGCCTACAACATTATTCAGGCCTTGCAAGAAATACAAATTATATCAAATTGGGAGAAGATGGACATATAAGAGAATGCAGAAGAGGCTACATTGGCCTAGAAGAGCAAAACACAAATGCAGGTACAAACTACATTGTATAGTGTGCCAATGTTATTGACTACCAAACATAGTTAATTGGCACAATTTCAGAAAGTGTATTCTTTTTTACAGTTAACAAAAACAAATATGACATCACTCTTATCAGCTGTATTCCAACATTTTTTTGAATTGGAGAAATTATAGGTATTTCACCAGGATTATATAGAGCTCAGAGAGTGTGTCAAGCGTTTCATGTCTTATCTGTCACCTTGGGGACACAGCTCAGAATGCTGATTTCCAGGTAGCCAGAGACCTAGGCACTTTGAAGATGGAAAATTGGTTGGCAGCTGTGGCTACTTATTAGATGACATCCCCTTGGTCCTGGATTTCCTTTCACAAATGAACACTTTCTGTCCTAAGTGTCTCGCCTCCCCTACCCCTTTACAGTGAACCATCATGCACACCTTCTGGCCCAGTAGGTTTCATGCTGTGGTCTGGGAGAACATTTTAAGAAATATTTGCTTGAGAAAGTAATTATTCAGTCTTTAATCACATCTACTTACTCACAGATTGACATACAATTTCACTTGCTTCTGGGACTGGTTCTGCTCAGGTCCTCTTGCCAAAAGAGATGCTGCCTCTACCAACGAGGATTGTTGACTTAATTAAGAAAATAGCTCTGCTTATCAGCAAAGGGAGAAGGGAGCCCAAGTGCATGGAAGGTAAACTCTGCAAGCAAAAACAGGGTGATGAAAAAGAAGGCAGAGGTGATAACTATGGAGACAACATTAGATGTATGCTCACTTGTTACTCTGATTTCTTTTTATACTTCTAGGACTTTTAACCATGAAACCACCTGCACACAGCTCCAGTCAAGCCGGTTGGAACACTGTTGGCAACTTCTCCTTGTCTGCAAAGTGTGCTGTGGAGCAGGCCTGAACCCAGGCTGCTGTGGAGTCCACGATCTTGACAAAGCAATGGCAGCAGTGGCCTCCTGGCCTCCAAAGTCTCTGCAAGGAGATGACCGTTGTGGAGCTGGGCTGGCAAAAGCAAGTCAGGATTTCAGCAGAGGACATCTGTCCCCTGGCCAGTGCTACCATCAACGTTACCTCATTCATGATCCCCAGACCCAAATGTCATGGAGCCTGAGGATGGACCTTCTCTGCTCTGCTCAGGAAAATGTCATTTCTCCTTTGCTCCAGAAACATAGATTACCGAGTTTCCCACCTAAAAGGAAGATTATGGCGATTGGGGAAGTAGCTGTTGAGAAGGAGAAAGAAGACTTACCATGGACATTGCTTAAAGCAGAATGGATAGTTCAGGAATACATTGCTGCAACTGATAAGCAAGGAATTGCCTTAAATCTGTGCTTATTCATTTTCAAAGACAAAGTAATTGTCTTTCCTTTTTGTGTGACTGGGAAGTTATCACATTACTTTCCTTCCATGTCATAGTCAACATCACCACCTTATCAGCTGAAAATGATTATTGCTAAACAATGAAATATACAGTCTTAATTAAATAAAAGAAAATCTAAGGGTAAATCTATACTGTATCTGGAGAAAAAATAATAAAAAAAATAATAAAGACACTGAGCTATTAAAACGCCTGAATAATAGTAGGTACATTCAGATACAATATTAAATAAGCAAAGACAGAAAATCCCAACATGAGTTTAATATTTTCTCCCATTTATACAATACTTCATACCGTTTGGTTTTGTTTTTTTTTCCCTCACCCAAGGACATTTTTGCATAGAATGAGACGGAGAGCGAGAGAAAGAAACATCAACATGAGAGAGATACATCGACTGGTTGCCACCCACATGACCCCAACCGGGGTGGGGACAAACTGCAACAGAGGTACGTGCCCCCAGCAGGAACCAAACCCAGGTCTCTCTGGGCTGTGGGCCCACAGCCAAACCAGCCATGGCAATACTTCATACCTTTTATAGTCTTCTGCCTATCTTAAGTCATTCCTGAGTATTATTCTATAATATAGATTATCTGTACTTAGCATATGAAGAAATAAGGGTAGGGAGAGGTTTAAGGATTTCTTTGAATAGCCCCAAATCCAGTCTCTGACTCTTTTTTCCATGAACCTTCAATATCCCCAGGGTCCACTGTGTTTCTTGAGACCCTGACTTTTAATTTTCACTAATTCATTTCTGATCTGCATTTTCAGCTTTATTTATACCTTCTCTCCTGTTATAGCTCAGCAACTGGGCAATACAAGATTATTCTAGGGGCTGAGTGCATATTTATCTATGCTTCTCTCATTAGCTATAAGACAAGCTGATGTAATTCTACTCTTTCTTCCTAGATAGTCCAAAACAGAGCTAAGGAAATAAGCAGAGCAGGGAGCTCTTGTTTTGCTCAACAGGGTGACACATAAGGTAAAGCCAACACTGATTGACACCTTAAGAACCTCAGGAATGCAAAGGTCCCAAAGGGAATTTCAGGGCCCTGCTTTCCCAGGGAGCCTGAGAGTCATTGTATATACCCTGATGATCATTGTCAGCAAACTGCTCACTTCCTCTCCTGCACTAGATGAACTTGGCACAAAAAATGCAGAGAGGCACAGATAGTCCTTAGCTAATGAGCTGGGTGTGTTCCAAGCTCATCTGCTCAAGTCAAGAATGCATTCTTCTAGGAGGCATTGTTAGAAATGGGGGAGAGGAAGGATGTTCCCAGATGAACTAAAGAATAAAGATTTACTGTATCAGGGGTTGGAATACTTTTTCTGTAAATAGCTAGGCGTTTAGGCATTGTGGGGCCATACCATCTCTGTCACACCTTATGATTTGTTTAATTTGGGGGGAAAAGCAGGAATGATCTAAAAATGTAGAAACCAGTCTTAGTTCACAAGCATGGGCCAGATTTAGCCAATGGGCCATAATTTGACACCCCTATCTATACAATTGCTAGCTTACACTGTTGTGAAAGCTAAGCAGTGGATTTTGGTGTTCAACATACAAGCATGTTTTTTAATGGTATACAAGCATCTTTTTTAATATGCTATTGACACATCTCCACTTGATTAACTTAATGTTCCCAACCTGCATAAGTTGTTAGGTAGAAAGTGACAGGTTCATAATCAGGGGTGGGATCTGCTCCATAGACTTCTCCACCTAAAAGATACATTTAGTGTATCATTGTGACTTTCTACATAAGCACCAGGATGAGAGAAAAGCACCCATCACCCCTCCCACTATTGAATTTTGTAGAACAGTAGGTCAGCAGAATCTTAATGGAGTCCATATGGATTTCTCAACTTTTTACCTCATTGGCAAAATCACCCAGCACAACCTGGCTGACTCTGAGAGTAGCAACAACCAGTAGGTGCCATTTGACCAGGGCCGCTGTGAAGTTTCTTCCATGGGCCATAATTGGAGACCCTTGGACCTGCTGGTGATCCCCAGAGGACTTCAGGCCACATTGGCTCCTCAGGAAGGCCTCCTGACCACAGCATCCTGCACCAGGACCTTGGAGAATGTGCCCTGGAACTCATTACAAAGTGGGACACAGAAAGGAGTGCTGTGGGGAGGGATGTCTTCCCAAAGACAAATAAATACTAGTTTCTAGCAGGTTTTTTCTCATTTAGCCCACTATGATCCTCATTACTTTTGCTAAACCCAGCCTTATCTTTCATAATGAAAAGATTTCAGCTCTGCAATTTGACTAATTAAAGTCTCAAGGTTTGGAAGGCCCTCCCTTGGCCCATTTATCAAACACTCAGTATTGGGATGAATGCTTCTCAGTCCACAGCGCCTCCCCCACCCAGGTCCTGTGTCATAGCAGAGTGACTGTCATTGTAAAGAAGGAGCATTGATGAATGGGAGGCAAATGAGCAGCTTTAATCAAAAATAAAAATGCCGCCCTGGCCAGTTTGGCTCAGCGGTTAGAGCGTCGGCCTGTGGTCTGGAGAGACCCGGGTTCGGTTCCCGCTAAGGGCATGTACCTCAGTTGCGGTTTGTCCCCGGCCCTGGTTGGTCGTGCGGGTGGCAGCCACTCGATGTGTTCCTTTCACGTCGATGTTTCTCTCTCTCTCTCTGTTCCTCTCTCTCCCTCCCACTCTACCTGAACAAAAAAAAACGGAAAAGTGTCCTCGGGTGAGGATAAAAAAATAAAAATAAAAAATAAATAAATAAATAAAAATGCCTAAATTTAGTTTGGCAAGTAGGAAAACTATTAAAAAGTAACTGAATGAAGTACGTTTAAGAGCAAAACAAGCAAGTATGATAAATATTTAAATAACTATTTATTGCTAGTTTTCTTAAGAAGGGTAAACACTTATTAGCGAGCAACTGAATAAAAAGATGGGGTCTCGCCCTGGCCGGTTTGGCTCAGCGGTTAGAGCGTTGGCCTGCGGTCTGGAGAGACCCGGGTTCAGTTCCCGCTAAGGGCACGTACTTCGGTTGCAGTTTGTCCCTGGCCCTGGTCGGTCATGTGGGTGGCAGTCACTCGATGTGTCCCTTTCACGTCGATGTTTCTCTCTCTCTCTCTCCCTCCCACTCTATCTGTACAAAAATTGCAAAAATGTCCTCGGGTGAGGATAAAAAAAAGATGGGGTCTCATGCTTGTTTTTGTCCCCAGCAGCTCACTAGACCTCCTGCCCCCTCTTCTGAACATCACACTCGACCCTGATACCTAAACTTCAGCACGTGAGTGGTGGCATTCTGCAAGAGAAATTTTGTTTCAGCTTTTCAAGCCTGAATCCAAACCCATGTTATCTTCAGATGTGGAGGGAGGAAAAGGACTCATTTTTGTCTCTAGGGTATAACAAGTCACCCACAGTTCACTTTCCAGTATTGCAGACAATGAAGTGAGTGCTATAGACAATGCACAGTGATGAATTGTGCAGAGATCAAGTCAAAATAGGAAAAATGACAGTTTGAGAGCATCTACTAATGCCAAGCCTTTTGCACATTTTGATAGGATAAAATGTAAGATTTTACAGTCTCATTAAAAAAGAAATATTTTCACAGACAGCCCATACAGTGATATGGGTGTGAGAAGAAGAAAGACAGTAATATCTATTGGGAGTTCAGGGAAAAGAGAAAGACTGGGAAAAGTTGAGCCTTTGCGGTAATTCTTCCTGGAGTTTACTTGTGCAGGTCAACTGGACTGCTGAACCCTTGCCCTGATTTTAACCAGCTCCACCCAGAGCCGATCAGAAGAGGGAACTTGCAAGATCTTGTAAGTGGTGTTGTGGGAAGAGCAGTGACCTAGAAACCACATGGCTTAGACCTATTTTAAGCCCCATCTCTGTGCCTAAGTGATCCTGGACAAGTCACCTGACCTCTCTTGGCCCCATTTTTCTTGCCTGGGAGATGCAGTAGACAAATGTAATAGAGTTCAAAATATGCAATCACAGTAGACCCCAGTCTGCATTTCTACTCCCAAATGCTGTATAAATCAAACCTTATTATAAATCAGTTACATTTAGGGTATCTTAAAGCACTGAATACTCTAAGTGTAAGAATAATAGAATAAGTCTGTTTCCTTTGCTTATTCTTCTAGTTCAGGTTGTTAAATTTCCAAAAGTTTATCAGAAAGTACTAAAGGAATGTTGTACTATTGCTTGGATGCTATAATCCCTAAATGTAGGGTATGCACCAAATTTTAACTTTTAATTATTTCTTTCCCCTCTTCCCTTCACTATGCTATTTTCTTTGGTTGGAAATATCCCTGGTGAAACATTTGTTTTGATTTTTAAAAATCAAACTCACTGCATTACTATGAAGCTTTCCAATGAGCTCTTGGACAGACCAGAACACCCAGTGCTGGTATTTGTAATCTTTCTTGCCTTGAGCACTCACTTGGCATAGGAAGTATTTGTTACCATAGCTGTTCTATAAAAGACTCTGTAGAACGCTGTCATTATATAAAAGCTGT